GCTCAGCTGCATGACTTGTTTAAACTTTTGATGAACCTCTGTGTGCCTCTGACCCCCACGGCATCCTCTGGCAGCGAGTTCCGCAGGCTGTGTACTGCTTGAAACTGGATTTGTCTGAAAATGGAGCAGTGGTTCCGGCAGGCTGCATGTAAGTCCCGATCTCGGCTGTTTTTCCCCTCTGCAGGGCTCCCCTGTGCGGCCGGGACACAGCTTTCTGCGAGACGGAGCGTCCTTGGGCATGTTCAGGGAGCTGATGGTGGTGATCCGTATTTGGGGACTGTTGAAGCCAAGCTGCCTCCCCGTCTACACAGCAACCTCCGACACCCAGGACAGCATGTCCCTCCTCTTCAGGCTCCTAACTAAACTCTGGCTGTGCTGTAAGTGTTTGCCAGTTTCCCTGAACAAAAGAATCCTTCCTCAATGCGGATTGCGCGTGAATAATTGCAGGGAGTGATTTCTGAGTGGGTCTGCAGTGTTTAGAAAGGGCAAGTACAGCTGCCAAGTTTATTGTTTTCTGTGCTGTGTTGGCGGATGGAGGAGGAAACTGCACGCAGTTCTCTCGATCTCTAGATGAGAAATTTAAAGATCACGCTGGTTCTCTCTCTCTGCTTCATCTTCCACGCAGGTCGTGAGGAAAATCACATAACGGAGCCAGATGATACCCTGATAGACGAGTGTTGCCTCCTGCCCAGCCAGTTGCTCATTCCCAATATTGATTGGTTGCCCATCAACGATGGCATTATCAGCAAGCTGCAGAACAAACAGCTTGTCCGGCTGCAGTTTGGGAAAGCTCCTGGGCTCGTTGGTCACACTGTCTCTTCCCAGTTCGATGCCTTTGTCAGGTACAGAGAGCTGAAACGAATAGGTGGTGCGGTGAGAAGAGGGTGTCGGGGGGCCTGGGATCTCTCTGCAGCTCTGAGAGGTCAGTGGGTTTGGGCCGCCTGTGTTTTTTGGCTCGTCCACTTGCTGGTGTGACCCAAGAGCAGTTTATCCTCTCTGCTTGAATTCGTGTCTTAACTTGCAGTGGGCTGGGAATTTAAAGTATTGAAAAGAGATGGCAAATGGAGGGGGAAAAAACGCTGGTTTGTGATTAGGTTCATGTCAGCATGGCCTTGAATCCCATGGTACTTGGTGGACTAGGTAGTCAAAGCCTGGGTCATGTTGGCCACTGAAATGCAGCTCGCTGTCCTGGAAATGGCTTTTAGAAAGTGATATTCTAGAAAAGTTCCCATTCTTCTTCCTACCCAGGGCGCCTGGACAGCCCAAAATTGATCATCTGAGGCGGCTTCATTTAGGAGCATACCCAACAGAGGAATGCAAGTCGTGTACCAGGTAAGCGATGCAAGCGTAATCCCTTCAGTGCAGAGGAGGCCTTGGCAGAAACTTGAACTGTTCTTTTTGTCATTCAAAAGCTCTTTTAGTCTCTGTTTACCATCCTAGCTGGATTCCCAGTAACATTTTATGTTAATTGTGTCTGCAGGAGGAAATGCTGCTTCTATAGTAGGGCTTTTGGTGTATGGCACTACCCCTTCCACTGGAAGAGAGCAGCTGTGGTTGCGCTTAAGGCACCCCTAACCTGGAAGACCGAGGTCCTTAAAATGCTTGTTGAGGAGCAGCGTCCCTGACTCGAGATAGCTGCTGCTGTATCATTGCAGCATGGCCGTTAGATTAAAAATGTTAGTAGTTTGCCCGGTGCAAAGTAACCCCAGCTCTGTGAGAATTAACTACGTGCGTCATTGCCAGTGACTGAACGAGATTTCATCTAAGGGCTGAGTTGTGCGTCATGGAATAAATATGATACTGCTTTAACAGAAAAATCTGAGAGCGGTCAGGCTGCACAGGTAAACGGAGACCAGAATTTGGCCTGTAGGAGTCTTATTAGAGATGAGAGATCCCCAGTTTGCTTTGCACGTCTGGTCTTTAAATAAAACTACCTGTGTTCTTGGAGAGGAGCTGGTGAGAGGAAATAATCACAGTACCCATGGTGCCATTTTTGGGTCATCTTTCAAACTAGGCTTGCATTTTAAGTCCTTTTGTGCTGTCCTCTTCATCCACCCTCACAAAAGAGCCTGGATTTCAAAATAATGGTGCAGGGAGCAAACATCCCTCTAATCATGCGATTGAATTAGCTTTAATTATTGGTTTTAATAGAAAGTCTCTATAGCAGATCATTTTTACAAGATGACTGTCTGCTGTTTTATGTATAAATAGCAGCTGGGGGCTGTTGTCTTGAAGACAGCCTTCTGTTCCAAGATAACCTCTCTTCATTTAAGATAATTGCTCGCATGGTTTCAGCTGGTTTTTAGTGCTCACAAACATCACCTGCAAATGACAAAAGCGGGTTTCCTCCTCTGATTCCTTGCTCCCTGCGCGATCCGAACAAACGCCCCGGCAGTGCTGGCTTTTTTCCTGGGCTTCTGTGTCTCCCGGGCCTGGCTGCACCTCTCTGTTTCTTTCCAGGTGTGGCTGTGTTACGATGCTGAAATCGCCAAACAAAGTCACTGCGGTGAAACAGTGGGAGCAGCGCTGGATCAAAAACTGCTTGTGTGGGGGGCTGTGGAGGAGGATGCCCCTCAGCTATTCCTGAGCGCACCTTCGGCGGGGCACAGAGGGAACAGCGGGCGCCAAGCAGAAGAGCCGCTCGGAGCTTCCTTCCTTGGAGGTGTTTGGGACAAAGGAACGGCAGCTCTTCTGAGCTCCCCAAAAGCATGGTCCTGATGCTGCCTGTGAGACGGTGCCAAGCGGCTGACCAGCAGCGCTGCTGCTTTTCTTGCGTTGATCTTTCTGCCGCAAAAAAGGGGGGAGCGAGCTCTTCCTCTTCTACAGGGAAGAGCTAGAAGGGAACGCCAGAGGCTTCCCTGTCAATGTCAGCTGAGGCCAAGTGCCCGGGAGGAGAGAGCCCTGCTGCGGCTGTGTCTCTGGGCTGAGCAGGCAGAGTGGCTGGGCCCCGGCGTAAGCCCTTGCCTGGGCAGAGAGTGGTGGTGGGTGGTGGCTGGGGGTGAACAGACACAGTCCCCAGTGAAAGGGGAGCAAATACCTGGTACCTCATGTTCATCCTTTGCTACAGGCTGCCTGGGAAGTGCAGCGTGGGCTGGTTACTCCCTGTTTCACTGCACTTCTCCACCCTTTGAGTAAACTTGCCCCTCTGATGGGAGACTTCACTGTCGTACCTATCTGTGTTTTAACGGAGCAATTTCTGCCCCCTCCGGAGGAGCAGGGACACGAGAGTGTTGCTGCCTGGAGCAAACCCCTCTGGCTCTCACCGAACCAGCAGCTCTTTTGTAAATAAAAGTTCCCTTAATTTTGTACAGAATGTTTGGTTTGTTTTCAAAACTTCAGCGGTCTTTTGTGTGACTCTGGTTGTACAGCGCGTGGCCAGGACAGTTGATGCACGAACAGAAGAGAAGCAGGAAAGCCCTGTTAATTGCATGTCTACTAGGAAAGGAGCTGCCATCACTTGCAAAATTGGAAAGGGAAATGAATGTTTTCAAGCTTCTGTGCGGTTATTGTGGACACAAGAGGAGAAAACATTAAGTCGTCAGGATTCTTGCAAGTCTCCAGCTTCAGACAAAGCCGGACACTTCAGCGTGTTTGAG